AATGGAGCGAAGTAATCGGAAGACTCTCTCATTTTCTTAAAGGTTGTAAGGGTCATACCTCGCAAGGGTCAAATAACAGAGGCAGGCAGGCCAATCTCACGGGTCAAACGACCACGGGGGTCAATCAGCAGAGGCAAACAGGCCAATCACAAGGGTCCAATGATCATGAGGCTCAACCAGGAGAAGCAAGCAAGAAAATTGCAAGGTTCAAACGATCATATATCGAGCGAAATATATCAGCAAGCTCTCCCGTGTGACCCGTGTCCTCCCTCTCCCAGATTGAGCCTTGAGATTGACCTATCTGTACTCTGCGGTTTGACCCTTGAATTTCTGGAATTTAATGTTTGTTGATACTCTGGTAAAAGTGCGTAGCCACACTGTTATCAATTTTTAGTTAGTTCACACGGTAATTCAATAGATTAGTTGTTCATCTCATCAATATAATTCCCTGCTTAGAATATTGTCGTCTCGTGTTTTCAGCACCAAATTAAAAATTAAAACTTTATTTGGAATATTGAGTGACAGCTTCTTTTTATTCATATCAGAAATTTTGTATTTGGATATTAATGTTATTTGTTCAAAGTGAAAAAATCGATCATCATGTTCACTATATTGCACTCAGAGTCTCCTATCCTTAACGTCAAAATGTGAGATAATCTCAGAATTCTAGGTATTGATTCTAATCAACTTTGTTCGAGGAAAACCTTAGTAAACGCAATATTAAGAAAGTTGAATTATTCTGTTTTCCTCTGGCCTAAATGATTTGGACAATTATGATTCGTTTATTCATGTTTCATAGAATGGTATTCAATTCTCTTTTATTTGTTGGGCGGGCTTCATGAAAATTCGACGCAAGACGATTGTACTCATGAAAACCGCGTTACTTTCTCCATTCGTTCGAGACATCCGCCATGTTCGAGTTCTCGTTTTCGATCGGAAATATTGCCCATGCGTTTTTCAGAAAGGATGTGCGTGCGCGAAGTGCACGTTCTCCCCTATCTCCTGAAAACTCCATCCAAAAAAAGAACGAAATTTCGACAATGAAAAAACTTGATAATTCCCCCGCTAGCCACCAGTTTCCCCTGATTAAATTCTCTGTGGTATTTGATATATCTGCTTTCCGTTCTCATATGGTGGTCGACCAAGTCCTTCATAGGACATTGACTTTGAGATACGCCAGTGTCGACGGCTGCTATCACTATCTTACATTTCGGCCTTATCAAACTTGTGCGCTTTACCTTATCAACAAACCGCCTTCTTGGGTTACGGAATGCCTCATCACTCCCTCTCTCTCATACCAACGATGAGTGTTTAAAAAAAATAATAATTCCATTTGTGAACACGAGAATCACGACTCACAAGTGTTTCATCATCGTTTGAATAATAATCCACGTTTTTGGCCGTGACCGTTTGAAGCTGAAATACAACGCATATTCGTCGACGTGTTTACTTTTTTTTTCTTCATTCTAGAAAGTCATTTTTGGGCCAATCGAGTGTTTGTTTACAATTTTCATCATTTTTGACGGGTGGCCTTGATAACAAAAATACTCAGACAATGAGAATTACGAAAATTACGTCATTTTATCGGTGGGAAAATTTCTGCTTTACACATCTATTTTTTAACTCGTTCAGCCCACGTCTTAATTATTATTCAAATGTGAAAAACTCATAACTTTATTCATTTATTCATTTATTCGATTATTCATTTATTTATTTAACAAAATTCCAACAATCGAAGCCAATAAGATGATTTAATATACACAAAAAAAGGCTTTCGGAATGAAATATCAATAATAAGAAATAATAATAATAATAATAATAATAGTCAATAATCTCTCTATATTGTAAAAATCCAAATCGACTTCTGGTGATTAAAATTTGGTACTCGAAATTAAGGGTCATGAGGGTCAGAATAAGGGTCACCAGAGTAAGATTATCACGAGGTCAAATTAAGGGTCAGTAGTCAGATTAAGGGTCTCAAGGGTCATAATAAAGGTCACAAGGGTCAGATTAGGGCTCCAATATTAAGGGTCATAGGGGTCAAAATAAGGGTCATGAGGATCATAATAACGGTCATAAGGGTCCAAATAAGGGTCATGAGGGTCAGAATAGCAGGTCATGAAAGTCCGATCAAGGGCCACATGAGTCAGATTAATGATCACAAGTCGGATTAAGTGTCATGAGGATCACTATAAGGTTCACTAGCTCAAATTAAGGGTCAGTAGATTCAGATTAAGGGTCACAAGGGTCAGATTAAGGGGCAAGGGAGTCGGATTAAGAGTCATGAAGGTCAGATTAAGGGCTACAAGAGGCAGATTAAGAATCACATGAGCCGGATTAAGTGCCATGAGGGTCAGTATAAGGTTCACGAGGTCAAATTAAGGGTCAGAACAGTCAGATTAAGGGTTACGAGGGTCAGATCAAGGGGCCAGCGAGTCGGATTAAGGTTCATGAGGGTCAGATTATGGGTCACGTGATTCGGATTAAGGGTCATGAGGATCAGATTAACGGTCCAAATAAGGGTAATAAGGGTTCAAATAAGGGTCACAACGGTCAGAATAAATATCATGGGGGCCATATGGGGGGGGGGGCGTAGCGNGCAGCCCCCTAGTATATAATAATAATTCGTAATAATAATTCATAATAATAATTTTTTTTAGTTAGAAAAGAAATGATTGTTAAGCCAATGAAGAGAACGCATTTTTGAAAATGTAATATTCTTTATTTGATTTTAAATTCTGAAATAACTGTCTAATTAACACCTACAGATAAATAATCAATTAGAATTGTAAAAATTTCTCTGATATCTCATGTTTTTCATGGCACTCCCAGTGGGCACAAAAACAATAGCAAGGTCAATGCCTCATGGACTCGAATTACATCATCCGAATGAAATACCGAATACGATACGTTGCCTTCTCGCAATCGGGTGATTAACATCAGACATTTAATCACCACTGGATTTTTCAAGTTTACTCAACGTGTACCAAATTCTTACGCAACCCATTATCAAATTGGGGGAAAGTCTGATCTATTTTGCAGTGATGAAATACAGTTGGATGAGGTGAATTCAAATTATTAATTTCAGGAGAATTGTGAAAATTATTTCCTGCTCATCAATCTTCATTATTGAAAGGTGAATCACTATTTGGGATAGTAGAATTGGCTTTTTATGAAATGATAAAGCTGATGCTGATTTATTTTATTTATTTTATTCATTTTATTTATTTAATCTATTTTGTTTATATTGTTTATTATCTATGCATATAAATCCCCGAAAGTCTTTGCCTGATACCCGTGGGCAGTTATCAATGGGTTTATCGCCCATCATATTACACTTTCGTCGATTGGATTCGGTTGGGGGGGGGATTTTAGCTACTATCTTTGAATTGCTGAGTTCAGGAGAAAAGGAACGTAGAAAATTTTGCTCTCGAGGAGAAGAGTCGCTGCTGATTGCACCTGGAAGTAGAAATTTTTTGGTTTTAGATGATATTTTTGGGTGACAGGAACAATGTGTTCACATCATGCATTTTGGTTTCAAATAAATGTCCCACTCTCACTCGAAATATCTCGATAACCATTGAGATGTCATCGAGACATGCAGCGTGAAAAATTAAGGGATTTTTATGACGCATAGAATGATTTTTTACTCATGTCTCTACGACTCACAATTCTTGAGGCGTTATCATTCGTTTGAGTGAGTAGCTCAAGACCTTTAGGTTCTGAGAGAGTGCGTGCACCGTGGGGCGCTTCCATCCACAAACGTCCACATCCTGAGAACTACGATTCGTAGAGATGTGAGTTGAAAACCATTTTATTTGGTATGAAATTTCCTGCATTTGTCACACTGGACGTCTCGATGAATTCTTAATAGTTTTCGAGATATTTCAATCAACAGTGGGGGATTGTAGCGACAACGAGAGCACTTTACTCGATAGTGTATCCGTAGTACATGTACACATTACTGTGGCCATCGTATTCCCTCCGCGCGCAGTCGACAACTGCGCAACTTCCGTTGGGTTTTTCGTGACATGAGATTTTTCAGGGATTCATCTGCCAATGGATTTCGATGACGAGGAATAGAGCCTTCCTGTAATGAAAACCATAGCGATTCTCTCAAGGAAAATATTGCTCCGTTGCTAATCGCCTTGACCCTACTAGTTTCAAAATAATGTCCTTTGTTCTCCGTTAATAGAATTCGTTCTACTGCTTTTCTTTCTCCTCCAATTACTGACGTCAGAACTTCTGGAATTTCCATTTCAAAGGCGATTGTCATCAGTCATTGTTAAGTTCTCTCTCTCATAATTTTTATTTCACTTCTATTGTCTTCGATGTTTTTGTGTCGCACTAAGGAGTGGACGAATAGTTCCACCGATAGAAAAATTCAATTCTCCTCTCCGTTCGCGGTTGAGTGGCACTGAATTATTGAAAGTGGAACTTTGAGGGCTGGACCCCATCTAGACATAGTTTTCCGAGTTAAATGGTAACGAAGTTCTCTGTTTTACCATTCATGGCGGTTCTATCAACAGTCGATAACGAAGAGCTTCATCTTTATCAGGCGTCGGTAATTTATCTGTTGCCATCAGTCGGTAAAAGCGGAAGTTTCATTATGCAAATTATGAAAAAAAAAACATTTTCGCGCAATTTTCACTTTTTGAATCTTCTCACATTCAAGTTTGAATGAAAACTTCATTATGATTCAAATGGAATTTTTTATATTCACAAAAATCTCTCTAAAAAATTATTTTTCTGCCTTCTATTGCTCACATCGACAGATAATAAAAAACATGAGAGAATGAATAAAGTAACAAGTGGGTAATTGCTATTGTCTTCATATGGTGTAGTTATTTTTGCTAATAAATTAGCGAAATGCTTCCGAATGGTCATCTTGTACATCATTTTTTTATTGCACATCAAATTTATCCTTTCATATTATTTCATTGAATTCGATGAGATATCTACATCAATTCATAGAATAAAAAAAACAACAAATCAAAAACTTCATCTGCTTCTAATCATATTTATTTGTTCATACAATAATAATAATTTCTAAATGCTTAAATACACATCGCTTACAATAGAAAAAAACGAAGTAATTGAAAATACTCATTGAATTTACAATCTAGTGATTCGCCGCATTCCTCAAAACTCCTTGAGATTTCGTGTTCCTCATTAATTTGTTACTGAACAGGATTACATCCACTATGAATACATATCGACTTTGTGACAAAAAACCTCTGCATTCACCGATGCATAAATTGTGAGTAAAAAAAAATTAACACCGAAAAAAAAAAGTGAAATAAAGTTCCTTCTCTCTTTCTGTTTTCTATACACAAGTGTATCCGTGAAATCGCTCAATAATAAACAACTTAATTTATTATTAATACCTTCGATAAGGATTATAATCGTTACTTTTATACAAGTCGAAGTGATAATACTTTTTCTCATCAACTAATTCATGAACAGAATTAGCCTAATAATCCCGACGATTTATCATGATTTTCTCTCTCTCTCTCTCTCTCTCATTTTGCTCGTCGTCTCTCTCTCCTATTGTACATAAAACAACGCACATTGCATTTGTTGAACTAATTCGATATGGCTACAATGATTATCCATTTCTTTTTGTGATGTAAAACGATGAAAATGACGAAAAAAGCTAAATCGTGAAATTTGAAATTGAGTGGATTGAAAATTGCTCATCACCAGCGAATAGCCAGAGAAATTTCCGTCTCCAAACCCTGGCCATAGACCTCTTTTGCCCCATTACATTCCCCGAAAAATGGAAAACAATTTTCAATGTCAAATGTCATCGCTTCAATGAAAACGGACTTAAGATCAGTGTTTTCAACCCTAAAATTTCCCGATCCGAATGGAGTAACCCTCAGCTCCTATCATCAAGTCCACTCAATCGCAAACTCATTTTCAAAACAGAAAAAAAATTATCTTGTCATTTCTCCTCTCGCCCCTCAAATAACCAAAATAACTTAATCAATTTTATCTACAAAATGTAAAACACTTCATCTTTGGTAGCAATTGCTAAATAAATATCCGATTTACCGTAAAAATTTGTCCATCTCCATATTATCGTGCTGATAACCCTTGAAATCAGTCATGTGGAGGCCGAATGATTCTCAGAAATCGACGAAACAAATGCCAAAAATCATCGATACATACGCGATTGTACGTAAAGTGCATGAAGTACGCACAAATAAAGCAAGAAAAACATTCTACGATTTTATTACTCGTATTAATGACCTAATCTGTTCTTCTCTGGGCAGTATAATACAAAAATTATGAGTTGAATCGTACAAATGATTAATATTACTGTTAATTCTCAAACAATAATTTACCTCTACCGCTATTTAAGCTGGACAGCTTATAAATATCTCCTCGATCATCATTTTTCCCTAATTGTCGACAACTAGTCGTCCGATGAAGATGAGAGTAATTCGGAAAAAGCATGTATCATAAACTTTCACCCTTTGTTCATGGTAAATTCTGTCTCTTTGTTCTCCACTGGTGATTCAACAGGATGAACTTTTCAGTTCACCAATGTCAGATATATTCTGCAACAAGGCAGCAGCCTCACTGCTATTGGGCTGCGCCTTGACGTTGTACCGTTGCTTTAGTGTGCTCAATGCGGACAATAGTCTTGTGTTTGACGACATTAATCTTGTATTTGCAGCATCCAATGCAGCGATCTGTTGCTCTTGGGCGTCTATCACGCGCTGCTTGTACGACAGTGCGGCTGACATCTTCTGCTGTTCGCGACGCAGCTCCTCCTCCACAGATATCAATCTGGTGAGCAAACGGTCATTCATTAGTACCAAATGATCGAAGCCCATCAAAATCGTCGAGTGAAAGTGCTATTTCTGGGAGTACAAATTGCCATTTCCCTCGATTCGTAAACTTTCCCGTTAAAAGGCCTCGGGAATTAAAAAAAAATACTGAAATGCGGGGAAAACTTTGCGCCGGAAAATCTCAGGCTGAAGGGGACGGAAAAATGTAAACGATGTCCTGAAAAATTTGTTCCGTTTGTAGAAACTTGATGCAACGAATTGGAAGTGATCTGGAGAGGATTAATAATTTAAAGAAAGGTTTGAAAATGCGAGGTGGGTGTACTGCCATGTTTAAAGCAGAGGGAGTATGCAAACAAGATGGCGGTGGCCACGCCTACCCACCACCTCGTGTCTTTGAAAATTTCTTAAAAGCGTTTATGCTCTTCAAATCACCTTCAACTCGTATCATTCAGTTCCTGAAGAAGGAACAATTTTTTCTCCGCATTTGAGGACTTTTTTTACTGCCGAGGTGGTTCTAGTTGTTTAGGTATAAATCGGGCGCTCTGGCTCAGTGGTAGCGTGTCTAACTACTGTGCGAGAGGTTTTGGATTCGATCCCAGCATTGCTCGATACAAGGGATGTAAAAATGACTGTCATGTTTTCTCGTCATATAACATTCATGTGACTTCATATTTTTTTCTCGTCATAAATTTCGAAAAATGTGACACTTTTATTGCTATTATGGACTATATGGACTGTGACGGTCGCATAAGATTTCTGTCACAAAAAATGTCATAAGATTGAGCAGTTAGACATTGTTAGAAATATTTAGATGGAATATGACGGTCATATGTTAACATCATCATAATTTAATCATGTGACAAAAATTATCATAACTGACATCAGTCATGTGACGTCCCATATTTTTGTACATCCCTAGTCGATACTTGTCCCGACAAAAACCCCATGGATTCCGATCGGTAACAAGAACTTCTGTATTATCAGCAGTAGCTGCACCGCGGGAGCCTTTCACTGGGACCGAATATCCCCCACGAGGGAGAGGGGGAGAAAGTGGGCCCCAGACCCAAAAAAATGGTCTAGGTACAAACATCAAAGACATTTTCTAAATCAATCGTGCAAACAACAAAAAATGTTGATAAATTTATGTGTTTCCATGTTATTGTCTGTAATAAAACACACAATGAAAACCGCGTGTGCCCAGATTAGTGAATTCATCGTGTGACTGTAAAGAAATAAAGCTTAAGTATTGAGTTCTCTTACACAATAAATCCAGATCAAGCCAGAGTATTACCAAATGCAGCAGATAGAATGCATAGGAACACATAATGAGTTAAAAACACGCAATCAATTTCCAACGTCAATTAGATCACAATCAACCGTCCTCGTTAATTAACCGATCAGACGATTGATTAATCGAGTGATTGATCAATTACGTGATTCGACGAGTCAATGTTAACGGTATAGTAACGACGTTGAGACAACTCCTGCAGAAATTTTCATAGGAAAGATAGAAACGTTAGAAATTGAAGAAATACCTGGTGATGATGTTCTTCATTTTGGTGTCAGGTGCAATGCCATCGACATCGCCATCCTCAGCTGCACCCAATCGTGCCCTCAGACGATCGACACTGCTCTGCAGCCTCTCGATTTCCACCTCGTACTGTTTGAATGAACAGAAAAATAATGTTTACTGTTAGTTACTTTCGTTATTGACACTCATACAGATGCTGATTTAGTAGTTCATTAACACAGGCATGTTAATTGGTTAATGTTAATTGATAACTTCCCCTCTTTGTGTTTACTCTTGCTCATTAAGTAGAGCTGGCTTTCCTTTCTCGTCTCACAGAGATCTAATCACTTCTAATCAATCTTATAGACAACCAAAGCCAGGTTTCATCATTTTGGAAATCCATGAGAAAGTCTTACAGTTCCAAATATTTGGGACAAAACAACTTCAACTTAACCTTCTGATATGTATCATAACTTGAAATACTCAAGACTCACCTGATCAATGCTCCTGTGACTTCTGCTCTTGCTCCTCCTTGTGGCGCAGCTCTCGTCCTCGCTGGTATCGCTGAGGTCCCTATTAGAATCCAAAGACAATCTCCTCCTCAACTTGGTGGAGTACCCACTCTGGCCCTCGCCAGGGCCCCTGTGCCCAGGGGTCTGTCTCCACTGCTGTCCATTCCCCCGATTCCTCAGATTCCCCTGAGTCGCAGGAGAAGGACTAAGATCCACTCCCCTAACAGCCTCAACCCCCCCGCCCTCACGTTCCTCTGAACTGGTGCTGCCCCTGCGCCCACCCCTGCTAGCCTCCATGTGATAGACCGGATTGGCAAAGGCGAGAGGTGCAGTGCTCATAATATGAGAATTCGCGTTGTTGCTCAGGTCAACGGGACTCGAGGACTGACTGTAAGCAGCGAAGCTCTGATACCCGGAGGAAGCGACATTAGACAGCTGTGAGATGGATATCTGAGATCCCTTCTGGGACTTTGACTCGGAGACTTCGTCGTCCGCGTACCTCAGGAGATCGGAGATCTCGTCCAAATTGCCGTTCGTAGTGGGGCCCTTGTTGTAGTTGTTGTTTGGTTGATTGATCGTCAGCGTGAGGTTAGTAGGATTGATCGGATTGGCATTGACAGTGGTCTTAGTGACGTTGTTGTAGTTTTGCTGCTGTGTCTGGTTGGCATTCTCCTCTTTACAGTGATTCCTGGAAGCCGACCTCGAGACATTGTAGTTGTTGTGGATGTAGTTGTCGTCGTGAAGGTCATGGTTGGCCTTGGTGTTGTGCCTGTGTCCGGAGTTTTGATTAGCCTGATTCGTCTGGTTGACGTTGATGTTGAAGTTCGAGTCTTTGAGATTGCTGTGGGACTCTGAGCGAGTCGGACTCGTCGGGATGTTCTGGCAGTGGTTGACGTTGGCGAGGCTCGCTGAGGCTGTGAGTCGGTAGCCCTTGGTGATACCTGGCCGGTGCTGTCGGGATATCGGGGTTGGCGATCTCGAGACGAAGGCGGGGGGCTCCAGGGGGTGGTAGTCTTCACTGGTGATCTGGAGCTGAAGCTTGCCGTTGGGGAGGTAAGCGTTTCTTGGGAGGGTTGCTGCTCTGACTACGTTTGGAGATCTTGTTCCTGGGGGGTGGCCTAGGGTGTTGCTCTGCAGGACCTCGGAACTGTCTCGCAAGGTACCGTTCAATGTGCTGTGGTTGGACAACGTCGAGGAAGCCGAGACCGACAGGTTTGTATTGCTGTTTGCGATTGTTGGATCGTTATATCTGAAGATGTTGTTCTGAAGATTTGGGTAACGATGCGCTGTGGAGACCGGACTGGGTCCGGGTTGCTCCAGGGCCACAGAGATCCTGTCGAGCACTTCGGGAAGTCGAGACGACGAGGAGGATGAGGTGGTTCCTGCAATGCTCTCTCTTAGAAGAGCATGAAGAAGTGATAACTGTTTTCCCAGGTCTATGTAACCGTCGAACTCCAGCGAATTGTTGGAAGGGCTGTCTTTGGGCAAGGGATTGCTGATCAATTGGAGGAAGTTCTTCATGGCTGGCGCTTCCCTCTCGAGAACGTCGTTCATGAACTCCATGAAGTTCTCTTTCCCCTGGAATCGCGTAAAGTTCGCGAGGGTCTGGAGGGTTTTGGCGACCAGTGTGAGGTTTCTCGCGGCCTTCTCATTCGGATACTCATGAGTGATATTGAATAAGGATGGTGACAAGATGGCGGGGCAGAGGAACCTCAGGAAAATGGAGGCGGATATGAGGTTGTCGGCGATATCCTCGCGGCCCATCTCCTTGAGCCTCTCCCTGAAGATGCGGAAGCACTCACGGAGCTCGAGGGGAAAGTGGGCGTGACTCGCGAGGATTCTGCTCCAGGCGAGTTCTACCGCGTTGCGGAGATTCTGCTGCTGTTTGTGGAGGGCCGCGAGGGAGGAGACCTTCAGGGGGTCGACCTCGCAGTCACCGCCTTCGACAGCTGCGCGGACAACTGCCCCCAGGGTCTCTTGGAGGTACCTGTCACCGGTTAGCTTGAGGTAAGCCTCCATCGCTTTGGTCGCAAGGGAGTTTCCGCGGAATGTCAGACGCTCGTCGTCGATTCTGTGGATGTCCATCATCACGAGGTCCGCGAGAAATTGTGGCGCCTTTTTTTCGCGTTGCATTACTGCCACGAAGGCTGTCGCGATGTCCTCTTTTGCTTTGACACCGATCGCGGGCTCTAGTCGTTCGCAGAGGGAGGGGTAGTCCGTTTTGAGGTACTCCAGGAACTCCTGGTACACCTGAACGGGGAGAATGTCCACGGATTGGAATCGACACTTGACCCGGAGGGCCGGGGGTTCCTTGAGCGGTCCCTTGTCGCTCACTACGGGGTACCATTTCTCGGTTAGGTAACGGGAGGTCACGTTCTGAACGGGAATGCTCACTGAGCCGATTAACACGTTCTTGTCGCGCTTCTTCTTGCGGTCTGCTTCGCGATAAAGGTTTACCTGGATTGTATTGACAGAGGGGAGGAGGTGGAAGTCAAAGTGCTCGCCCCAGAAGCACAGTTCGGTTTTTAGTTTCGCGGTTGTTCGCGCGTAAAGTGTGTTGTCTAGACAGACCTCACAGAAGTAGCGTTTCTTTGTGGGAACGCCTTTAGCTTCCAGCAGCCAGATTTGCAGGGAGTTGTCAGTGCGGCGGGTCTGCTCCGCGTCCGGCTGCACTGATTTCCGTATGCTGGAAATTTATTGGCTGGGTTACTGCGTGGATCGACATTTCAAATTCGATTATCGAATTGGGAGAGTCGAGTGACTACCGATATTCAATTGGTAAAGCTTGATAATCGATTTTAAGAATTAATCTTCGAGATGACATTTTAATATTTTTGTTTGATGACCCATCGCGATTATCGCACTTCGATATATCGAAAGTTGATGATGAATCCTTGAAAACTCGATATTTAATTGTCGAGCAATGAAATTATGATGGTTGTAATAGACTGTCATAAAAAATACTTTAAAAATTAACCATCGACTGTAATCATCAATTTTCAACTGTTGAAATTCGATATATCGAAGGTCGATTATGGATGATTGATATGTTGTAAAATTGTCAATGATATCGATTATAAGAGCTTATCATAACAAAAATTGTTGCATCGCATATCGATATGTCGATATTCGAGATGTCGAGTTCTAAGAATATATCAGAGGTCGATAATGAATAATCGAGATATCGATATTTATTTGTCGGGAGGTGAGATTGTGATGATTGTCATATTTGTTCGTCATAAAAATAAATAGATTAAAGTTTGAAATCAACGGCAATAATCGATTTTTGACTGTTGCAATGCGATATATCGAAGTTCGATTATCGATCATCAATATGATAAGCAATTGGTCACTGATATCGATTATAAGTGCGTATCATAACAGAAATTGATGTATCGAATATTGATATATCGATATTCGAGATGTCGAATTTTAAGAATCGATATCACTCTTCTTTTTAATCAGCTTTGAATGACCAATTTCTCTCGCATTTGAATGGTCTTAAATCGTTTTTTTTTTCATTCAAAGTTCCTCTCGAGACATTCAACTCAAACCACTCCTTAACCCAACCTAAACGCATTTAAATGATTCAACAATACAATGACTCCGTCATAATGAATTCCTTTATTTACCTGTGCAACCACTGTTGCCTCTCGTGGGCCGTTCTGCAACTGAAGTACTTGGGTGGACCGTTGCTCGGTGTGACTTGAAAACAATGAGGTCGACCGAGCAGACTCGGGTGCATTGGTGTAACAGCCGCCAGATCCATCGAGGTTACAGCTTGACTGCACAACAGTGACTCGTGCGAGCGACAACCCCGTAATCCAGCTCCACGCTGCTTCTGCCTCTCTAATTTTGTCACGCTCTTGGTCCTCTTCAGTGGATTAGAGCGGAACGAGCGTTTTGAGAAGAAGTTCTGGAAATTTAGCACAAAAATACGGGAATCAGTAAATGAAAACTCCACTCTCTGGTATAATTTTTCAGTTTTATGGGCTGTGAGGGATGGTTAGGGGGATTTCCGGTTCAATTCATCATGTTCTCCAACAAAAAATAATGATGTGAATGTCTCAAGCACGACAAAATACTCTTGTGTATCACACAAATTAGGATCGCGAATAAAAAAACAAAAGGCATCATGGCTAGGCTCTACTACCTAATTCAAAACAAATCCCTGTCGACACAAGCTAAACTCAAATTGTATAAGGCATTAGTCAGGCCGGTAATAACCTATCGCTGCCCCGTCTGGCATAATGCAGCCCCCACCCATATCGCCAAATTCCAAGTTACTTTAAATAAATATATCTGTGTTATTAATAATGCCTACTATGGTCGCCCTATCTCCTCCCGCCACATTAGATCCAATACCGAAATGATCCGTTACTCCATAAATGGCATTGCAGACAATTTCGAAGTGAATCTTAAAAATCGTTCAAATTCATTAATAAATAACATCAAGGCTCGCTAAAGTTCAAGATGGTCAACTGGTCGTAGTTGATGTGTCACCGCAATACTCAAGATATAGGGTGTTTCACTGATCGATTTTTCCTACTATTAGCCTGCATTTTATTTTGTAACTCTCCCCTACTGTTAAACTGCCAAATCCTGTTGAATAAATGCCTTTGAATTACTTTTATCTTCATGATCCACCAAATTCATCGTGTTCTTCACCTCTAAATGTCTATACAAGCCACAAGTATCAAAGAATAATGATATAAACATTTCGAAGGAAGACGAAAAGCTCTTATGTATCACACACATTAACATCGCGAATGAAAAAGCAGAAGCCATCGTGGCTAGGCTCTACTACCTATTTCAAAACAAATCCCTGTCGACACAAGCTAAACTCAAATCGTATAAGGCATTAGTCAGGCCGGTAATAACCTATGGCTGCCCCGTCTGGCATAATGCAGCCCCCACCCATATCGCCAAATTCCAAGTTACTCTAAACAAATATATCCGTGTTATCAATAATGGAATGACCCATTACTTCATAAATCCACAGTACTCAACAATCAACAATTCCTCAATTGCCGGAGAACTGATAACCGGAAATCTCCCCAGCTGTCACACTGAAATCCAGATTCATCAAGTGTTTTACCCTATTAGAAAAATAATTAATAATAACGCTGACAAATTTATCCTCCTCGTCGTCATCAGTATCAACGCACATTTTCCGACACCTCATCTATGCACCGTAACGCAATATCGACCGGTGTCATAAGTTCAAGTGACGCTTGATATTCTAGCACTTCAGAGAAGCACTCAGGCTGTGACCCGCATTCTCAGGAGGATTCAAGATGAGGGAACAAGAGACGATGAAAGAGGAGATAGTGGAATGTTGGAGACACCTCTCGACAATCAATCTTATCAATTTTCGGAGGGAGTCAATATTTCCGAATCCTCACATCAACTCTACATCGAATTCTCCAGTTCGAATGAATCTTCCCTGTCAATTCTTCACCGTCACATGTGATTCTTCACTTTGGGAGTAACTACTGCGACACAAATCATTGGTGACCATGCCCTTATCACAGCTTTCTCGGACCTTGTTCGTTATCATCAACGTATTTACGCGTCACAAAGCAGCGGAGGAGGGAAGCCTAATCTCTTCCCCACAATCGCATGACTAATCAATGAATAATACAAACACTCTTCCAAACATGAAAAATAATTTGTGTTACCGGTTTCAAGAGAGATCATAGAGGGAAACAGTTCTTCAGTTGATGAAAGATAGGTAGATCAGCCAGAGCCAATAGATCAGTCACCAAAAACACATGAGAAATTTGAAGAAGTGCCACAGAAATGAACAGAAACAGGGGAAAAACCGTTAGAAACTCGACGAAATGGCGATGAGTACGCGGTAACCGTGAGAGCAGATGATGGCACTGCCAAAAAGGACTGATCTTAGCGCGACGAAATCTCGGTGACGACTGCAGATGTGGAGATGGAGGGCCATCTCACCTTGTACGGTGCCCTAACGAAGTCAAGGGATCCTTGGGGCACTTTAAAAAGAAGAAAAAGAAATTGAAGGAAGAGAGAATGATTTTTCAGGGCCCTTGGTACACACCTTTGTCCCGCGTACGTAAAGAGAGACGAAGCGTTTCTGCCATTGAGGTGAGTACACCCAAAACCAGTGGTGGAGGGGGTTCCCCTCTTTAGCCCCATCATTTATTTTTCTTCTTTTGCACACATCGTCAAGCATCAAGCGCGACTGAAGGGAATAAAAATGTCTTTGGGACTGGCTTGGGGTTCTCAACCCCTGGAGAACGATTTATCTACCGAAAGATATGATGTCCGGCTGAATATTATCGATATTTACTAGTGGGAGGGTGTGGAACACGAATATGTTGGTTATTTTCATTAATAATTTAATTCATCTTCCAGATGAGTTTTTGGGGAATATTTCCAAATCTAAGGGAGATAGCGAAATTTTCGTAATTACATTTGTTGTAGCTCTCAATCGGCTCTACAAAAAAGGTTGTAACAAAAATTTTGCTATCTCCCTTAGATGCCGAGATGTTCATTGAAAACTGGTCAATAGTCAAAACTGACTTATACCGTTTTACCACTTCGCTACTGAATTGTTTAAATGGCCGTAACTCGAAATCTATCAACGCTATCGAAAAAATGTTCCAACAAAAAATATTTCTTTCGTGAAAATGAACATTTTTTATACTATGAATTTTTCTCCTAACTGTCGTAGATAAAAAGATATCGCGGTGGGAACGAAACTGGCGGCGTGGCAGCCCTTACACGGCGCGTCGGCGCACCGCAGAGCATTTAGTCGCGGACTCGAAGGAGATAAGAAAAAATGGTTCGGATAAAAAATAATCGTCGTAAAATTTTACATAAAATTACTTTTTTGACATTTTTGTTAATTTCCAGTATTTAAGACAATATTTACGTTTTTAATCTGGATGGCGAGTTAAATCAGTTTTGCAGTCATCATTCAACCATAATTATCTCATTAACTCGTGTGATTATGAGAAATGTTTATGAACCTAATATATGTATTATTGAATGACGGTCATTTTTTGTCCCAACATTTTTTTTCTATCTCCACTCGTTCGGGAATTATCTGTCAAAGATATCGGGAGTAGTCCATACGACGGGGCCACTTCCGTGTACATTGAGATGTCTAGGAGATTCGACCATTGGTCTTCATGTTTTCGAGGTTGATAATTGCAGATATGGTACCCGTTTTTACGAAATCATGGGCTGTCTATCTTTTTATAACAATTTAATAGTTTTAACCACAAGATAGGGGGAAGGATCCGCGGGATTCCTCTAGTATTGCGTTTTCGCGTAGTTTTGCTACTGCGATTCGTGCCGCTTCCGCTTACTTTGTGAATTTACGCGGAAGTGGGATACCACTGGGTTTCTTAGATAATACTCGTACTTGTTTTCCCCGGAATGGCACGCGATACTGCGTCGCTCGTGAGATATTCCATTTTTCTCATTTTCACATTTTCTTATTTTCCATTTTGCTTATTTTCATGAGGAGGTCGAGTACTTCAGATTTAAAACTCTCGTCAGAATCCCATTTAGCTCCAATACATTTGGTTATTGATAATGTCAGTTGATATTTTATGTTTGATGAACAACCTTTAGAATCCTTTTTCCTTTCTAAAAACAGCATGGGCAATATCTCGAATCGAAAATGAGAACTCGAAAATGGCGGATGTCTCGAACGAATGGAGAAAGTAACGCAGTTTTCATGAGTACAATCGTCTTGCGTCGAATTTTCATGAAGCCCGCCCAACAAAGAAAAGAGAATTGAATACCATTCTATGAAACATGAATAAACGCATCCTAATTGTCCAAATCATTTGGCTCAGAGGAAAATAGAATAATTCAACTTTCTTAATATTGCGTTTCCTAAGGTTTTCTTCGAACAAAGTTGATTAGAATTAATAGCTAGAATTATGAGATTATCTCACATTTTTGACGTTAAGGATAGGAGAATCTTAATGCAATATAGTGAAAATGATGATCGATTCTTTCACTTTGAACAAATAACATTAATATCCAAATACAAAATTTCTGATATGAATAAAAAGAAGCTGTCACTCAATATTCCAAGTGAAGTTTTAATTTTTAATTTGGTGCTGATAACACGAGATGACAATATTCTAAGCACGGAATTATATTGATGAGATGAACAACAGATTAATTGAATTACTTACGCACGCACTTTTACCAGAGTATTAACAAACATTGAATTCTAGAAATTCACACTTTAAAGTGTGTTCTAGAAGGAATTTAATTGTAATTATGATTGAAATCTTATTCAGTGAGCGGAAGAATTAGAACATGAGCAAATCATTAATTGCAATATGAAAATTTAACAGCTGATAAATTGGGATATATTATTATTATTTATTGAGAAAGGACAGCTTAGCTGATACATCTCTTCCCATATTTACAAGTGTTGGTGTTGTTGTTGGTTGAAGCAGCGTACAAAAATCAAATTATAATCGGTATTTAAACTCAAAGTAGCTCTACCCTTCGGCCGGGCTACGCTGTACTTTTGGATATTTTCAGTTTTTTTATTTTTCAACTAAATCGCATAGAAAAAATTTGAAAAAATTCATACCCAGTCAGTATTATCTAAATTAAATTTCGCAAAATACTGATATTTTTTCAAACATTTCCCTCTTATAAATAAATAATAAAACTTGTTTCCAAAACTGTGGATAATTTTTTATGAGGTGTCAAAAAAATTCTTTATTTTTTCACATCTAATGAAAAAACATTCAGATTTTAATCTTTGATTACAATGGAAATGTTGATTTTCACATAAGACACTGGGTTAAATCCTGATTTTTAAACATTTCTTCTTTGAAAAAACAAAACGATGATTAAATTGAGAAAAAAATTACAATTCCGAATCTAATCGAATCTTCTGCAATTTTTTTGCAGTTTTCAATAATCTTTGAATTTACCGTAAGGGTAGAGCTACTTTAAGAAATTTCACAAGAGATCTAACACAATTGATTAAACAACAAATATAATTCAACTGAACCGAATAATACAAAACGATAAACGACATACGATAGATGAAAATCATGCCAATTTTGCAACTAAATTGCATGGAAAAAATTTGAAACAAAGTTCATACCCAGTCAGTATTATCTAAATGAAATTTCGCAAAATACTGATATTTTTTCTTTTATTTCCCTCTCATAAATGAATAATAAAACTTGTTTCCAAAACTGTGGATAATTTTTTATGAGGTGTCAAAGAAATTCTTTATTTTTTCACATCTAATGAAAAAACATTCAGATTTTAATCTTTGAATACAATGGAAATGTTGATTTTCACATAAGACACTGGGTTAAATCCTGATTTTTAAACATTTCTTCTTTGAAAAACCAAAACGATAATTAAATTGAGAAAAAAATTAAAATTCCGAATCTAATCGAGTTTTCTGCAATTTTTTTGCAGTTTTCAATAATCTTTTAATTCACCGTAAGGGTAGAGCTACTTTAAAACAAGTTAAAACAAAAATAAACTTTTAAGTAAGACAAAATTAAGCAAAACAAAATAATGCGGGATTATAAACAATTAATTGAAAAAGGGCATCAACACCGCTAGTTTTGGGAAAATGATGACGAATGTTACTATATTTTACGGTCGAATGAAAATCCCCAAAACGTCCCGTCACACGTAATTTAACAATTTCAATAATCCTCGAGATTATCATTCAAACGTTAGAAATCCGTAGATAACAATAGCCACATCCTGACAAAACATCGTCATCTGCTCAATTCCAATCGACCCATACATATCGACTCATTAAATATGGCGGCCGAATGCCAATTCACTCGTCAATAATTCAAAGTGACTGGAAAAAGGACTTTTTTCTCCCGTTCGATGGGAGAAAAAATCGATTTCTCCAATTATTTTTTGCGCCTTCCATTCCACTTCTATTTTTCTTTCCACGTGCTCTCATTGTCATTTTAATGTTCCTCTTCCACACCATTGCCCTGGCAAGGAAAATGCAAATGCCCAGGTGGAGAGGGGGGAGGGGGGAAGAGGGGGCAGGGGCCGGAATCGATGGAGACACTGGCAAACTAGTTTCATACGACGGAAACGGCTAAATAAACAACAGACCGCTGGTTGGACAATAACCATTAGTCCTTGCTACAAATTTGAATAAAGAGAAGTGACTTTTTGACTTGTGCGTCACGTTTTTGTGGTATCAAATTGTTGGGTTTTGTGGGGACAGGGCGGAGGGAGCAGAAGGTGGGGAGTTATTGTGGGGGGATTTTTTGGTGGATTGGATCAGCTGGACGAATAGGTATCATTCAAATGAGGCTTTTTGGGGATTCGAGCGATATTTGATTTGAATTGATTTCGACGAGGGTTAGAGTGAATAATGGGGGCAATTTATGACAGGGAATCATACTTTTTAACCCACTTTGCCCCGGGTTTAGAGGAAAATGCAACATTTTGTGGCAGAAAAAATTTTATAATGCAAAGTTTGCTTTTTGAGAGAATTTTGAAATTGGAATTTTTGAGAAAAATTTGTAATTTAAAATGTTGATCGAAGAATGATCCGGATTTAAGAATTTTTGTTTTTGGAAAAAAATTAGTTGATTTTTGAAAAAAAAAAAATAGTTTTTCAAGAAAATTAAAAAATGGATTGTAAAAAATCAAAAGTCATATCTCGAAAAAAATTGAAATTTTCGTTTATTGGAAAAAAAGGCAATTTTTATTTTTCAAATAATTTCAGTTAAAAAAAATGAAATTTTTATTTTTCAAAAAAATCTAAGAATGTTCATTTCAAAAAACATTGAATTTAAGAATACAATCTGAATTCGAAAATTTTCATTTGTTATTTAAAGAAAGATCAAAGATTTCGATTCTAGAGGATAAAATGAGAGCTTTTAAGTTGAAAAAAAATTGACATTTTTATTTTTGAAAAAAAAAAATGAAAAATTGTAATAAAAAAAATTTTTTTTAATCAATATCTCTATTTTTGAATAAAAAATCGCCATTGTCATTTTTGAACAAAAAAGAATGTTAAAAAAATAGAAAAAATATGTTTTTAAAAGAAAATCGAAAATTGTTGATTTTTCGTCATTCAAATGGTAACAATCAATAATAAAAAAAAACTTACAACTATTCTGTTTGGAGTAACATCGAGTGGTCTTGCCCCCAAAACAGGGGTCGCCGGTGCGCTTCCCCTCCTGCATGCCTTCTCATAGGACGTGTCTGAAAAATGAAAAAAAAATCCAACGTTTAGAATGTAATCCCCCAAAAACACACGAGTAAAGATTCTCGATTGTGATCTACCCTTTTGCGCCCAGAAATAGGAGTTTCTAGTCATTTGGACACGCATCTACCGAAAATGCTCGTTTCTCACGCCTCCCGGCTTAGAAAACCGTTGCGCGGCATAATTCGCCGTGAGCATCTTTCCCGCATTCTTTCTTTCTTCTGGTGAAACCCTTACGACTACAGCTATAATCGCATTTCGCTCGGAGAAAAATCGTTGGAAAAAAATGTGAGGTGACCCAGTGCGTGTTATTTTCAGGAGAAACATCATTAGGGTGATTTATGGCGTGTCGAGACGCTAAAGATTGAGGTGAATATGAAGTGGATTTGAGAGCGAAGAATTATGAAAAAAATTGAATCTGGCTTAACTTAATTTTGGGGAATTCCTGTCAATTCATAGGATTTTATTTTATAGATAACGATAATTTAGCAATATATATTTCAACTAAATTATTGGGTTGAGTTACAAGATAGAATGTATGCTAATCCTTTCTTTAAAAAAGCATATCTCGAACGAATGAAGAAAGTGAGGCGGTTTTCATGAGTACAATCGTCTTGCGTCGAATTTATGAGGGCCTGAAATAGGGCTCATAAGGGTTAAAATAAGGGCCATGAGGACCCCAATAAGGGTCGTGAAGGTTAAAATAAGGGTCATGAGCATCAGAATAAGGGTCATGAGTGTCCGAATAAGGGTCATGAGCGCCCGAATAAGGTTCATGAGGGTCAGAATAGGGGTCATGAGGATTGTGAATTAAGGGTAATGAGGGCCTGAGTCAGGGCCATGAGCGTCCTAATAAGGGTCATGAGCACCCGAATAAGGGTCATGAGGGTCGAAATAAGGGTCATGAGGGTCCAAATAAGGGTCATGAGAATCAAAATAAGGGTCATGAGGGCCAGAATAAGGGTCATGAGGGTCGGAATGAGTCATGAGGGACCGAATAAGGGTCATAAGGGCAAAAATACGGGTCATGAGGATCTGAATAGGGGTCATGAGGGTCAGAATAAGGGTCACGAGAATCAAATTAAGGATCGTGAGGGTTAGAATAATGGTTCAAATAAGGGTAACAAGAGTTAGATTAAGGGTCATATGTCACGAGGTTCAGACTGAGGGTCCAAATAAGCGTAACAAAGGTCATATTAAGGGCCTAAATAAGGGTCACAAGGACCAGATTAAGATACGGATTAAGGTCACAAGGCTCACAGTAAGGGTCTAAATTGGGGTTATGGGGGTCAGAAGCTAAGGATCATAAGGGTCAGAATGAGGATCATGGAGGTCATATGAGGGTCATATGGAGATCATATGTGGGTCATACGTCAGTGGGCGAGCGGAGCGAGTTTTTATTTTTAATTAACTAGCCCTCTAGTTAATTAAAATCATAAATATCGAATTCGCACCATGTGCAGTGTAAACCAAATTTCATCTCGTTCAAAAACATCAATTACCACTCAAAACACATAAATCAACTCTTAAAAACTACTAAATCAAAAACGTCAAAACCCAATTACGATTAATAATAGAAATTGGAAATAGGACGATAAATCAACGACTGATAAAGAACGACAAACGGAAGCGGTTAAACGGCATGAAATCAAAATAAAAAGTTAATAATAACAAGCCGGAAAGTAACCATGAATATTGTGCAGTAATTCCTGGCAACAGTAACGACTGAGGATAATAAATAATTCTAAACTATTTATTCCCCCTTTCTCTCTCATCATCCGACTGAATACTAATTGAGGCTAATAACAGTCGGTACAGCGGCGGGTCTTTTCTCACTGGGATAATCGTTGTTATTTAGACGTTGCCCTCTTGTCCCATACCATCACGCAACACTCGGCTATTATGTGCAACTATTTTTTGCAGACGGAAACGTCGAAACAGCTGCATAAATCGACATTTCTAATGAACATTCGAATTGCGAAAATTTCTATCGGAATCGCATAAAAACTATTCTCCAAAAACACTGGAATAATTTCCGATCCAAAACCCTGGTCATGAATCTATTTTGTCCCACTAATTTCAAAGATCCATTCAAAAAACTTTGTGATTTTGAAAATTTGGTTCAACTGTAACTTTTGAACTAGTGGGACAAAAAGGGTTCAAGACCGGTGTTTCGCAGCGGAAATTTTCCGACTCATATGGTGGGGTCACCTGCGACCCCACCGCATCATGACAACCAAAATGAGACCCCTTCTCATCCCCCGAAAATGTCGTTTTGATGAACAGAAAGAGTTGAATAAATTCATTCCACCTATAAAAAACTTTCTTTAAAATTCACTGACTCATTGAAATGATCATTACTCGCGCACGATTACCCCCGAAGAGCCATTCCAATAATTTCAAGTGGAAATTTAAACTGTAGCAATTGTGATTTTAATCATTACAGCGAGTGGGATAAAGAAGCAGAATAAAAACTGCAATCGGCAACGAAATGAAGGGGAATTGGGAGGAGGGAGGGAGGGGGTCGCGCATTCGCTGTGATTATTAATAACCGTTACACGAGGACAATAGATATTGAGGGCAAAAGCAAGAGCAAATGTTCGTAGGAATGAAATGAGTCGTGTGGCGGTGACAGGGCACCGGTTCATTTTGTCGTTTCAATTGCAATTCACGCAGTGCTTCAGGCGTGTCCCAGCAGTGGTAGGAGGGAATATACGAGACTCGACCCGATACCTTTCTTCTCATTGTTATTTTGTGGAGAATTCTCCGGGGCAGGCGCCTACATTTGTATTATGATGATTTCAACAATGATATGGATTTTTCTATTTTACTTCTGCTGCGAAATTTCCATTTTCAATACTTTTATTTTCTGTGAGTGATGAGTCATGGGCGGGTGCGGATAATTTTAGTGGGTCGAGGGTATTTCGGGTTGAATATCGGATTTGACATCCATTTTTGGAAAATTCTAATTCTGTTTCAGAGCTGCGGGCAGCCCATTGAAGAGAAATATCTCATGATCGAAAAAAACAATTTTTTTTTGTCGATAAAACTTGTTATTTTTTTCATAAAAACAATTGAGAAATTGATTTTGTCTTGACGTATGAATGACGGATGGACAAAATCTACATCTGGAAAAAAAAAGATTAAATTTCATCTGTTCATTTCCAGACAATTGAAGACATACTTGCATTTTCAAACTTTTTGAATTAATTTTGTAGCAATTTGCTTTCGAATGGAATTTCCATAACGACGTCCTTTTAATTTATTGGCAGCCAACATTGCCCCAACATTGACCCGACGTTGCTAGCAAACATTGACCCAATGTCGGCAACCAACACTGGCCCGACGTTGGTAGCCAACATTTGCCTGACAGTACCTCAGCCGGGGCAGCCAACATTGCCCCGACATTACCCCAAGGTTAGCAGCCGACATTGCCTCAACCGTGACGGCCAGCATTGCCCCGACATTGCCTCAACCGTGACTGCCAACATTGCCCCGACATTACCCCCAAGGTTGGCAGCCGACATTGGCCCGACGTTGGTAGCCAATATTACCCCAAGGTTGGCAGCCAATACGAGCCCAAAATTGGGAGCCAAACTGCCCCAACCGTGGCAGCCAACATTGCCCCGATATTACTACAATGTTGGCCGCTGGCATTAGCTCAATCGTAGCAGCCAACATTGGCCCGACGTTGGTAGCCAATATTACCCCAGTATTGGCACCCAACATTGCCCCAACGTCAAGGTTTTTGACCTTTCCCTGAATATTGGTTTCAAAATAATTTTTTTCAACAACACATGATGCAATCAATTTCACGATCGAACTGGGTCAACATGGCATTGGGAAGAATATTTCCAATCACCAAATTCAAATCATTTAAACAATCATTCCAAAAACAATCTATCACATCCCGACATCTATCCACGGCTCCTGAGGCCAAAATTAGTAATCCTGACATAAAAAAATTGAAAATTTCGAATTGGACAAACACAATGCTTCCACTCGGATGCAAAAAACGTATGAAATATCTCTCTGAACCAGTGTTTTGATCCCCAAATTTTCCCGCCCATGCAACAAAAATATTTTCATTCCCCCAAGTGCTGAATCAAAAAATCGCATTCTCACTGCATAATAAAAAAAAACCTTTTATTATTCATCGCTCGTAAAACTGTGCACGTCTGTAGTTCTTGAATGTTGCAATGCATTTCCCGACGCTCCCCCCTGCACTCAGTCGTAAAAAAAAAGATATGGAGACTACAGTCCGAGGCGTGCTGCATCGGTTCTGCTGACCCATACGCGTGTGCCATCCATTGTTGAAAAATAAATTTATAGCTGCAGGATGACCGAACATGATTTACCCAGTGCAATGTGGTTACATACGTTCACAGTTTTGTTATGCATTGTGTTACACACGTGTAGAAAGGGGCATTAATGTCGATTCACTCGGGTTTGAGTCCTTTCACACCGTGAAAATCTATAGTACACGTAAATAATAAAAATACGGCGAAATGGTGCTATCATTTCAGTCGCATTGATTGTGAATTTATTAGAGGGCGTGAAAATCGTCATTCGGGGCGTTTGAATGACAGTGGGAGAGGGGTTACTCCACGGATGTTTTGGATCGTAAATAGTCGTTCTGTTTCAAATAGTTGCACGCAATTTCATTGTTTAAGATATAAATGACGAAAAATGGGGGTATCATCTTTGTGGCCATTGGGTTGTGCTGTTTTTATTATATTTTTCCGTGATTTTAGCCATCTTTAGTTTGAATTTGCCTGATATTTCGAGAGATTATTCACATGTTCTGTTAGAAATTTTTTGAAATTTCATGATATAGTTGACACTGAATCGGATTTAGGGAAAAAATGGTTATGAAATTTCAAGTTTTAAGTAGAATTCACGGAAATTCATGAGTTTTGAGTGGGAGTGACACGGAAATTTCACAGCTTGATTGAAGTTTCAGTGGAACATGAATATGCAGAAACAAAATTACAGGACT